ATGAAATTGGACCGCTACTGCTGAAATTGTGAGGTAAACAGATGCCACACCAGCTCAGTGATAAATTAGCGCTTACGAGATAGTAGAATATTATCACCACTTTTTACGCGTTTTTGACGTGCAGCGCTAGAACGCCGCAACAGGCAGCAAAAGCGCATATTGCAAAGACCCTGTCAGTGTGTGTGTGTGTGTGTGTGTGTGTGTGTGTGTGTGTGTGCGTGTGTGTGTGTTCGTCTGTCCGGGTATTTCAACTCGCTAACCACGCAAGCTTTGAAGCTGAAATTTTGCCGGTGTGTTCCCCGGCCAGGCACCACCCCAGGACCGCGGCTTCAACCCTCACGCACATCTGGGCCCCGCTTACGAGCACGTGGAAGTTTTGGCCCGAAAATCGCTAACTCGGGGACGAGAAAAGCTAGAAAGCTGAATTGGGAGAATATTCCCCACCCGTGCACCACAAAAAGATTTCTAATTCAGCTGCCCAGGAGTGCCCGGGGTTTACGTACCGGCAAGTGAAAATTATGGCCGGAAAATTCATAACTCGGGAATGAGAAAAGCTAGAAAGTTGTAACTTTGTGGGAATGTTCCATACTCATGCTCGACCAAAAGTTTTCAAATCCAGCTCCTTTAGGACCGCCCGCACATCACGTACGAGCACGTGAAGGTTTTGGCGCGAAAATTACTAACCCGGGAACGGGAAAAGCTAGAAAGCTGGAACTTTCGGGGAACGTTCCCCACTCATGCACGAGCAAAATTAGATGTTTAGAAGCGCCCGAGCACAAGTACGAGCGCGTGGAAATTTTGGCGCGAAAATTACAAATCCGGGGACAGGAGAAGCTAGAAAGCTGAAACTTTCGGGGGATGTTTCCTACCCATGCACGACCAAGATCAAATGTTTAGAAGTGCCCATGCCCACATACGAGCGTGTGGAAATTTTGGCGTGAAAATTACTAACCCGGGAACGGGGAAAGCTAGAAAGCTGAAACTTTAGGGTAATGTTCCCTACTC